AACCGCTCTTCCCAGCAGTGAATGTACAAAAAATAGGTGCACAAAACGCTGAGAACTTTCCGGACAACCTAATATTAAGAATGTTCCAAAGCATAGTGGAAAGAATAAAAATACCTGTATCAGCCGATGCTTCACAATCAAAGTTTTCTGATCCGTTACAAATTCTTATTTGATTCACGATGAAATTCAGGTGCGATTTGTGTGGGGGAAAATGCCACGACATACTTGCGATCAGAAGGCACGCGGTTGATGGAATTTGCCATTCACAGCATCAAAAATGTTACGCTGAACATGTGCGCTAACGCGTGCACAACTAAAGTAGAGGTTTGTCTCTTTAGCGTTCTGTAGATGGTGGTTTAAAGGTACGGGCACATACAAAAATCCTTCTTTCTTGAATTTGTGAGCTTTTTCTAACGCCATTACAACTCGCTATTATGTAAAACAGAACGTTCCGTGTTTGCCGTAAATTTCCATGCGGTCTACAGGTTCAAGTAAATTTGTACCATATTCTTATGGAACTTGTATACCAGATGACCACCTAAGCCAGTGTATAGACGGTATCACATTCGAGAAACTGCGATTCTGAATGAAAGAAGAATGCGTGCCGCACCTCGAAGGAGATTAATCAGTGGTAAAAGCTTTCAAGTAATATCCAAGTGAGCTACACGAATCTCGACTGCTATCAAGCGGCCGTGCAGTCTTCGTCAAACTCACCTTCTACAATCATAGTTCGTAGACAGTGAGGTTCAGGTGCTAGCGCTCCTATACCGGCTAACTTGTTATTTGGAAGAAAGTAGCAAGAAGCCGAACTCAATAAGGCTCCCTCTCACAGCTGACCGTGATCTGGATAAGCATAAGAAGGTGGAATCAACTGTAATGCGCGACAGGTGACCAAACTGATGAGTGCGGAAGAGAAACCGGAAAGCGATGAGCGAGAGAGGGCAACAGCATCATCGTAGGTATAAGTGCCGGGCCCCCTCATGGGTACAGGTGCACTTATTGCATTTCGCTTCCTCCCTTCTGAAGAAGCAAAGAGAATACTTGCTTTCGAAGTAAAACCAGGACACCTGTTTGGGAGGGGTTCGAAACCACCAGTCGCGGAGTGGCCATCGAAGCATTGGCTTTACTTCTTACTCCATGAGCGCTCCATTCACGAGAGTCTTTATTTTTAGGGTCACGAGTGCTCGTCATTCGAATACGATGCGCGGTCGCAAGAATGTTCTATTCATGCAGAAGACGGGCAGCCGTTCGGAGCCAGCGTTCTGACGAAGACCGACGGACCGATCGCCTTCTTTCAACAGGTGTGCGTGAGAGGTACGACTGTGTTCTGCTTGATTGGAGCAGGCACTTTGGATGCTCGCCGATACGAGTTACGTCCGAGCTTCTGGTATAAGGATCGCTATATAATCTTTATTTTGCTTCTTTCAAGAAAAAGTTTTAGCGCAATTCGGCAGGTCAGGCCAACTCAGCGAAGCCTGTACATGTCACCATGTGGAGACTTGTAAACTCTTGTAACCAGAGTGGTCAGTTGTACCAGTTTGCAGTTTCGCAACAGTTCACATGAACTAGTTGAAGGTTACAAAATGCCTGATCCAAGCGAATAGCGCCAAATTCAGTTCCATGCTGACGCACCTTCTGGAGCGTAGCGCATCAACAGCATTTTTATCAATTATCATATCGAAGTTGTTCAAACGAAACTTCATTCTACTTATTAATAACCTTGCATTGAGATAGCAGTTAAACTTGTTTGCAATTTTTTTCCCTGAGGAAACTTTTTATTAGTCGTGTGCTTTTATATCGACTTGAGTGTGCCTTTTTGTTCTCAGGCAATGATGTTCCAGGCGATGCTCTTTGTTCAACACCGTACGCGTTTGAAAGGTATCCTCAAAGTCTGCTCATCGGTCATGCAATGAAGGTGTGTCTTGAAAAGTACGCTTGAATTGATGTATTTCCCTGAAAAAACAAAATTGATGAACAAAATAGAAGTGAGTCAGTCAATACACACCCTCAGGAGAGGCTCAAGGCACCACCTCCTAATGGTTTGTTCCTCGATATAGTAGCGAAAAAAAAACTTGTAACAAGCCGCAAAATAGCGTTTTGACAGCGTTAAATTTTTTATTCAACGCTAGAGTGGTGACAGAAGGAAATGGCATAAGTGCACTAAAAGACAATTGACCTTGCCTCCATCTTTCCTGGAAAATATGTATCACAGGGTCGAGGATATTCACAGATATTCGACACAAAATTCCTCAAAATGCACACAACAACTCATTTGCTGGTGGGCGACTTCTTACTGACTAGTGCTTCTCGCAATTGGAACTCAACCGCTTCATCACCGAGATGCTGGCCCTGGGCGCCGAAACCTACTCTTCACATACTTATTTGTGCGTGTTTTTTTTGATTAGAATAAGGAATTTTTCTGGGATAGTTTATCTGTATCCACTATATTTTGGTACCCAATTTGAACAAAATTTGAAAAAAAATCTGACAGAAAACTTTTATTCTTTAGGTCTGCTCCATTTTTTCCCGCATTGCCAATACTTGATTCATGAGAATCCGTTATCTGAGATCTCGTCGATCTTGAAACGGATAATAGATAACCACGTTGTTTGATGTTGATTCCTTGCTATTCAGTGCGCCATGCACTTGCTTTTCGCTCGAAACTTCAAACACACGGATACCATGATGTGCACTTAACATGACCCAATTAACACGGTTGCGCAGGGGGCCGGACACAGTCAAGCGACTTGAAGGGATGTCGCATTTATCTGGCTTAGGTGCGTGCACTTGCTAAGATTGCCACACCTCTTAGCAGTGTGCGATGTGGAACAGTGCATCAACGCAGCGGAGGGGACAACGAAAGAAGTCTTAAAAGTGGTTTCATGTGTGAGGGACTCACGCGAAGGTCCAGTTAATAGGACTTCGAAGTGCTGCATCATGTCGAGTCAACTAAGAAATGCCCCCCTAGTTTCTGCGTGTTGCCGCGATCTGGATGCAACGTGTCAGGCCCGACAACACGGCACATCCCACGAATTTTGCGAACTTATCCAGCCGAACATTCAATGTTTTCAGATATACAGATTTATGGAATAACTTTATTGGTTATGCACTCTTTTTATTTCTCTTTTTATAGATACATAATGTATGTCAATTCCCCTTTCAAAGGATATCCAATGATGAACAGTATAATGACATGTGTAGAAAAAGATAGGGATCTCTGCGACAGCCATGAGCCGCAACTGCCTTTTCGTCGCACTGCTCACACTGTTCATAGTATTATGAGAAAGTTTTGGTGTCAAGGAAAAGTCCTACTAGCTGCACATAATATAATGAAGTGTGAGCCAGGATGGTAAGCAGGACACGTCGTACGCTGGAGATTTCCTGAGGGGGAGGGAGACCATTTTTGACCTAAAAATATTCTGATGGTTAGGTTTTCCTATTGCTCCACTTCAGAGCTCCCTCCCTAGTTGGTGGCAAAGCCAAAGTCATATGGTTCCACTTTCTCGATTGCTGAATTTGGTAGTCATTTGGTGCAACCCCTCTACACCTCCCCACCTCCTAAGGACGGCAAGATTTCAGAGAAAAAAAAACTGAAAAAAATTTTCCGAAGGGTTGGTTGGAAAGCTTTAAGCAGCTGGGAAAAGTTCGCAAAATAGTAGATAGGGGAAAAAAGGAGGATGCAAACAAACTTTTGCAGAGACTTACTAGCAACGGGGCACAGTGACTTCGTACCCTTTTCGTCAACACGTGACGTGCCCTGTTGCTGGAAAAAAGGTTATCACAACGTCATCGCTTCGGAGTCCCTCTACACTCTTCCATAGTTTCAGGTGATTTTTGTCGTCGGAGTGTCAGAATGCTTGTCGCGGTGTCTGACAGCCCCAACTTCACTACACACACAATGCCGTTCGGTGATGTTCTTCTACAAGACCGGCGAATGCATTATAAATCGCGAACGACGGCAGTGACTGGCCGGAGCTGTTCGTCGATGGCGTACAGGACCAGCTTGTTGACTACTTTGAGAACAACTGTCAAGATGGTAGGATTTAGCTTGATAATATTCAGAAGTAGCGTTACGCAATCTGGTTATGCTGACGGACAGGCTCTATCCTAAGTCTTAACCTACTCTTTCTTTGTGACTATATTATGACTATATTATTTAGAAAGACTTTATCAGAGAGAAAACGCTTGAAAAGCTTCTGGTATTCTTCAGTCCTTTGCGTGCATCACACATTCCACTTCCAATCAAAAGCGTAAAGCCGTATTGGGTGCAATTCGCTTATGCAGCAGTTTGCAGGGGATAGCAGAAGCAATGCACGGGTCTGTCATTTCATCCTAGAGGAATTCAAGGACCACCTCAGCTACTAATGAAGCTATGGAAATCTTGGTATGCCCAGACTTGAGCTGGTTCGAGATCTGACTCCCAAACTGTGCGCGTGGTGATCAGCAGCACTCTTCACAACACTCTTCCCCCATCACAATATTTTGTCATACTTTAGAGATCATATCAAATTTGTAGGCCCTGTTTAGGCGTATTTTGCTTTGTTTAGTATTGAGGCGATTCAGAGATATTCATATTGAGTCTTAATACATTGAGCCTTTTTCGCCTTTCTGTAGAGTTGACCTCGATTAGATGTTTTAGCCTGACTTTCTTTTATCGTTCGAGCATCAAAGGGAATTGAATTTAGGAGGCATCTGGCGTCATTCCTGAATCAACACCTCCTTGCTCAGTTGGAGCACTGGAAACGCTTCTTGATGGGTTCTTTAGGGCACTTGTGCGACGGATTTTGCTTTTTTGCTACTTCCAAACGACGTGTCGAGCCATCTAGAGATCCATTTCGGGAGCTTCACAAGAGTTGACAGGGCGACAGGTTTCGTTATGGTGGCTTGACAAGCTTGCTCCAGCTTCACAAGAGTTCACAGGTTTACCAGAGTGGGACTTGTAAACCGGAACTAGTGAAGCAGCGAAAGTGCAAAATGCCCCTCCCCCCCCCCCCGTCGCCGGACTGCGCCGTTCCTTCACTCGTAGTAAAGCCACGAAGAGCGATTTCATTGCGCTAGTACCTTTCGTTCCAAAATGGATAGGCACATTGTAGCAACTTGCTACTAGTAAAAAAGAAACGGTTCAATCAAAAGATACAATTAAGTAGTCAGCAACGAACATGAAATTTTTACAAGGTAAAGTAGACA